TCCTCATAGGGGAAGTGTTCCAACCCTTTTATCATTCGAGTTGCCCTTTTCTGCACTTTTTCCAAAGCTATAATATCCTTTTTAAGGTGTGGTGACCAGAACTGCACACAGGATTCCAAATGAGGTCGCACCATTGATTTATATAAGGGCATTATGATATTGGCTGATCTGTTTTCAATACCCTTCCTAATAATCCCCAGCACAGCATTGGCCTTCTTTATTGCAGTCACACAGAGACGTGACAAGGTGTGATTCGGGAATCAGTTCAGTTCATTTCGATGATACCCGATCAGCTCGGAATTTGGGGATCAATCCCTTGCTCCTTCTTGACTATTAAATGTGGTCCATGCAGGGCCCTTTGGATTTGGACCATGGGGGGAGATCGGTTTTAATTCAATCCCTTGTGCTGCTTTCACAATCATCACACACACACACACGACTGTTAGTTGCCGTGAACAGAGGAGCTAGATTCAAGACCAGGAGCACACCTTAGAAACCAACTAGGTTTTCTGGGTCTGAGCTTCCAAGAGTCAAAGCTCTCTTTGCCGGATAGATGCGCCCAACAAGAAGAAATAAAACTGACCAGGAGGAGGGAAGGCTGTTGGTGCAATGCAAAATGAACTCAGAACACTGAAGGGTAAATTAATCCAAACTGAAGGGCCCAATAATTAAATGAATGAATACAGAATACAAGTATGCCTACGTTGGATGCTGCAAATGCCTGCCGTTGTTATACGAACCGCACTAGCACTTTATGTTGTGTTTTTATAACTATATTGTTGTGCTTGTACGCAATTCTTCTGTGTTTAGCTGTTCGATACATTCTACGTAAGCCGTCCTGAGCCTGCCCTGGCAGGGGGGGGCGGGGGATATAACTTAAATAAATAAATAAGTATACAGCAATTATACAAAATTACAAGTATTCAGGGCTTTTTTTTGTAGAAAAAGCCCAGCAGGAACTCATTAGCATAATAGGCCACACTCAATAGCAGAAACTCATTAGCATATTGGGCCACACCCGACAGCATCACTCATTAGCATATTAGGCCACACCCCCATGTTACCAGAAGTGTGCTCATCCAGCCACACCCACCTTTTGCTTCTTATTCTGTTGACCTTGTTTGTTGTCAAAACCCTGGGCCTTTTTTTGTAGCAGGAACTCCTTTGCATGTTAGGCCACACACCCCTAATGTAGCCAATCCTAATGAGTTTCTGCTGTTGGGTGTGGCCTATTATGCTAATGGGTTCCTGCTGGGTGTGGCCAACTTGGGAGCCAGCCGGAACTCCGTTCCTGTGCGTTCCTGCCCAAAAATAGCCCTGCCAGGTGCCATCAGGAGGTCCAGCAATGGGGCCAGGACATTAGAAGCCTTCCCATTGTTGCCCCCCCCCCCCAAGCACCAAGAATACAGAGCATCGCTTGTGGCTAATAACCACTGATGGACCTCTGCATCGTATGTTTATCCAATTCCCTCTTGAAGCTGTCCATGCTTGTAGCCGCCGCCACCTCCTGTGGCAGTGAATTCCATGTGTTAACCACTCTTTGAGTTAAGTACTTCCTTTTTTCTGTTCTAACCCGACCGCTCAGCAATTTCATGGAGTGCCCACGAGTTCTTGTATTGTAAGAAAGGGAGAAAAATACTTCTTTGTCTACCTGCTCTATAATACCTTCCTTATACCTTGGGTACGGCTCGGTATAAGGAAGCTTCATTTGGACAGGAACCACGGGCCAACATCATCTTTGCATGCAGAAGGTCCCAGGTTTGATCTCTGGCATCTCAAGTTTAAAAAAATCAGGTAGGAGGTGACACAGGAGACCTCTGCTGGAGACTCCACTCAGCAGATGAGACAGTTGAGGGAGACAATACCAAGCTGGGTTGACCAATGGTCTGATTTGCTATTTAAAAGCTTTATATGACCACACCACATCAAATTCAGAGCCAGCATGATGTAGTGGTTAAAGTGTCTGGATAGGAATTGGGAGACCCAGGTTCGAATCCCCACTCTGCAATGGAACCTTGTTGGGTGACCTTGGGTCAGTCACACATTCTCAGCCTCACCTACCTCACAGGGCTGTTGTGAGGCTAAAACGAGAGGAGAATGATGTAAGCCACTTTGGGTCCCCACCAATGCTCCCTCTAAGCTGTGGAGTCTTGTGAGCAAAAATTCTACTTTGTGAGCCACTGGCATGAAAGCTGTGAGCGAGCGATTTGGCCACTTTATAAATGAGTTTGCTCTGGAGCCATCCTCCCTGAGCTAAGACAAAAATGTGTGAGCCGGAGGCTAAAAAAAACTGAGCTAGCTCATACTAACTCGGCTTAGAGGGAACACTGCTCTGAACCAATGCTCCCTCTAAGCTGTGGAGTCTTGTGAGCAAAAATTCTACTTTGTGAGCTGCTGGCATTAAAGTTGTGAGTGGGCGATTTGGCTACTGCATAAGTTAGTTTGCTCTGAAGCCATCCTTCCCAAGCAAAGACAAAAATGTGTGAGCCGGAGGCTAAAAAACTGTGAGCTAGCTCACAGTAACTCAGCTTAGAGGGAACACTGGTCCCCACTGGGGAGACAGGCGGGATATAAATAAAGGGCGCTTTCACACACAACAAATAACGCACTTTCAATGCACTTTGCAACTGGATTTTACTGTGCGAAATGGCAAAATCCACTTGCAAACGGTCCCAGGAATTCAACACATGGAATTCACTGCCACAGGAGGTGGTGGCGGCTACAAGCATGGACAGCTTCAAGAGGGAACTGGATAAACACATGGACCAGAGGTCCATCAGTGGCTATTAGCCACAAGGTATAAAGCGGAACTCTCTGTCTTGGGCAGTGATGCTCTGTATTCTTGGTGCTTGGGGCGGGGGGCAACAGTGGGAAGGCTTCTGGTGTCCTGGCCCCACTGCTGGACCTCCTGATGGCACTTGGTATTTTTGGCCACTGTGTGACAGAGTGTTGGACTGGATGGGGCCATTGGCCTGATCCAACATTGGCTTCTCTTATGTTCTCACGTTGTGGAAGTGGACTGAAACTGCATTTTTTAGCAGATGTGAAAGCGCCCAAAGTAAATAAGTCAGAATTGTGGGATGGGTAAACTGCATCAAAACTGCATGACCCACAAAGAAAACGACCATATGCAGATTCACACCACAGAGAACGATTTAGCCAAAACTTATCTCCAGAGTTCTAGTGGTTACGATACAGGTGTATACGAAATGAATGCAAGGAACACATGAAGGAGCATTCCAGTATTCAGTACCTCCACCTGACGTGGTACAGTCCCGCAAAGAGACACATCAGGTGATGGCAGCGGCTTGCAAGCTTTGTCTTGAAGTTATTTGGCAGGCGTGTATATATATATATATATATATATATATATATATTTCCCCCATTCCTTTCCCTCCATGCATCGGCACACGTAGACGTCGGGATCGAAAGCCTCCATCGCACACGTTCATGAAAGCTCTTTCCTCGCGCCATTCATCCGTCACCAACGCCTTTAATCACAACACAGCTGCGTGCAGGATCCAATCGGCGCCCGGGCAATGCTCCCCAATGACAAATCATTCGGCTTCTGAAAATTATCCATCTCTCCGCGGCTGTGCCCGCGCGTGATGATTTAGTGGGAACGAAATAACCTCACAATGCTCAATTTAAGAATTGGACGCTGCTTCTGAATAATGACACACATTTACTGACGTGATAAAGCAATTGAATACCGGCGGTTCATTTGTAACGGAGGAAAGGCCGGCACTCTTGCAGCTCGGATTGATGACCGAGCGAGTGAAAGGGGTTTTTTTTCCTTTTTAAACCTCCCTGGAGCACAATATTAAGAATTTGTATTTCCCCCCCTCTTGGTGGGGAAAAGAGCATTCAGTGCTGTTAAAGGTGAGAAGGGCTTGAAAAAATAAATCCCCCGTTCAGATCTGGAGACTAAAATCCGGCATCAGGAGTCCTTGACCGATTAAAGTTGTGTGTATGTTTGAGATGAGGCCAGGGGTGTGTGGGATGAAGATTGGGGGTTTTCAAAGCCTAAAAGCAGGGCTATTTTTGGGCAGGAATGCACAGGAACGGAGTTCCGGCTGGCTCCCAAGTTGGCCACACCCAGCAGGAACTCATTAGCATAATAGGCCACACCCAACAGCAGAAACTCATTCGGATTGGCTACATTAGGGGTATGTGGCCTAACATGCAAAGGAGTTCCTGCTACAAAAAAAGGCCCTGGGTTTTGACAACAAAGAAGGTAAACAGAATAAGAAGCAAAAGGTGGGTGTGGCTGGATGACTACACTTCTGGCAACACGGGGCTGCGGCCTAATGTGCTAATGAGCTGTGCTGTCAGGGGTGTGGCCTAATAGGCTAATGAGTTTCTGCTGTTGGGTGTGGCCTATTATGCTAATGAGTTACTCCTGGGCTTTTTCTACAAAAAGAGCCCTGACTAAAGGGAACCTCCGCGTTCAGAGCAGGAAACCAGCCTCTGAATACCAGAGCCAGGAGAAAACATTGAGGGAAGGCCTCGGCCTCTATGCTCTGTTGTTGGACCTGCAAAACAGGTGGGCTACTGCGTGAAATGCTGGACGAGATGTGAAGGGCGGGGTATAAATCCAATCTCTTCTTCTTAAAGCATGACGTATCTCTCCATCACAGTTTCTTTCTTTCTTTTTTACTACTGGCCAGAAGATTAGCCCAATACTAATCCTCCCTCCTTCCCGACATAATTGTTGTTTTGATTCTGAGGGTGAAGCAAAATCGGTTTTTTCCACATGCCAGAAAAGAATAACAAATCGAGCACACTGTTTAGCTTTTGGACGGAGCTCTCGAAAGAAGCTTGTGTTATGCCACTTCAAATGGAAAGTTACGGGTGTTATTTATGAAAACTCATAAAAGGGCAGGGGCGCGAAAAGACGAACTTTTGAATTGCACCAACTGCGAAGATTCATTATTTGTCTGTGGCTTGGGATGAATGGGGTAAAGGGTATCTTTTTTCTTTTCTTTTTTTTGCTTTACCTGCACTCTGCAGAAATTTCTTCCAGTTAAAAGACGCGTTGTGGACAGTCACAATCCCTAGAAAACAGACGGGCATGCATTACATTTTCGCATCGGGGCATTTCATAGCAGGCATCACAACCAATTTTAGCTGAGTGGCTCCGGATCTTTTTATGCCCAGTTCAACATGCTAGTGCTCATTCGATTTTGTGCTCACCGATTACCAATTTTATCCCGTTCTCCTCCAAAGACTCAGGATGCTGCATATGGTACCACACCCTTCCTTTTTATCCTTACAACAATCCTCATAGGGAAGCCTAAAGTCTACAATAATGACCGGCCCAAGATCACCCGGCAGTCTGTGGACCGGCAGGAATTTGATCTCGGGACCACCTGATCTAAATCCAGGAGACTAGCTGCTTCACCACTGCCTTATTTTGGAAGCTCTAAGTGACTTGGCCGATGCATACTTTACTACTCTCCAGGCTTTTCAAAGCTGAAGGAAGTCGAATCCCAACTTGCACCACAGGGCTGATTTATTTCAGACTGAAGACTCCCGCAGGTGTCAGCTATGCTGCCATGGGGGTTGGGGAGTTCATTCTGTGTCTTGTTACTTGCTATTGCGTTCCTATCCCTGCTGTTCTGCTTTTGCTGAAATGCTTATCTCCACAGATGTGCAGGAGGAGGTTGTGTTGCCTGGAGCGCTCCTCTCTACCGTGAGAGACTCCTAATTCCCAGCTTTGGTCACTTAACGGTTTCCTCAGTTATCCCGCGCATGGGAGGGGACCTAATTGTCCCATGCCGGGGGGGGGGGGGGGTGCATTCGAATACCCTATATCCCATTAGGTTCCATGGGTCGCTGTTTTTAACTTAAGGAACACTACATTGGGAACATTTGGCTATACAATCTCAGGAGAATATATAGTTGACCAGAGAGAAGTACTACTGGACATGTGATTGCACTGGAGGTTTCATTTGTATTTTTGCCCAGTGGTTAAACTTTGAAACAATTGTTTTCCGGTCTTTATTCCATATTCTGTATATTTATGATTGCATCTATTTCTACATATTAGCCAACATGTTCTATTTGTATTAGACCTCTGAGGAAGGCCTGTGAAGGCCGAAACGCGTTAGGTCTATTTTATCAGCCTTTGTATTTTTGTATTTTTATATTTGTGTATGAGGTATGAACGGGTCCTTATTTGTTATTTTAATTTGTGTTCAATAAATATATGTATATTTTTGTATCTTTCATAATTAGATTATTAAGAGCTGGCCCTCTTCTATTCCTGACTAACCTTTTTAGGTTCTGAATTCTAGGTTACAGGTTCAGTTTTTTTCTTTCCCCTTTTTTCCCACCACCATTCCTAACAGTGCCCATTTTACTGCATCTATAGCTTTGCAATAAAAGTATAACCGTTCCTGAATGTGTGTACTTCATTGTTAGCTGTGGGTCCACTCCTGACAGCAGGCCAGGAAATCGACACAATAAAACAAAAGTCCACCTTAAGGACTAACATTTATTTAGCTGTGACTCGTGGACGCTTGGCCTGACCTGGATGGCCCAGGCGAGCCCGATCTCGTCAGATCTCAGAAGCTAAGCAGGGTCGGCCCTGGTTTGTACTTGGATGGGAGACCACCGAGGAAGTCCAGGATTACTGTGCAGAGGCAGGCAAGGGCAAACGACCTCTGTAGATCTCTTGCCTTGACTTGAATAGCCCAGGCGAGCCCAGTCTCATCTGAGCCTAGAAGCTAAGCAGGGTCGGCCCAGGTTTGTACGTGGATGGGAGACCACCGAGGAAGTCTCATGGTCGCTATGCAGAGGCAGGCAAGGGCAAACCGCCTCTGAACGTCTCTCGCCTTGACCTGGAAGACCCAGGCTGGCTCGATCTCATCAGATCTTGGGAGGATAAGCAGGGTCAGCAGAAGCAGGCAGTGGCAAACCACCTCTGTTCCTCTCTTACTTTGACTTCAATCGCCCAGGCTAGCCCGATCGCATCAGATCTCAAAAGCTAAGCAGGGTCGGCCCTGGTCAGTGCTTGGAGGGGAGACCATTGAGAAAGTCTAGGGATGCAACGGCAAATGACCCGTTAGTCTCTCGCCTTGAAAACCCAACAGGGTTGCCGTACGTTGACTGCGACTTGAAAGCACTTCCCACCAGCTTGCGTTGCCCTGACCTGGACGGCCCAGCCTAGCCCAACCCCATGAGTTCTCGGAAGCTGAGCAGGGTCGACCCTGGTGAGTACTTGGAAGGGAGACCACCAAGGAAGCCCCCAGGGCTGCTACGCAGAGGCAGGCAAGGGGAAACCACCTCTGAACGTCCCTTGCCTTGAAAACCCCAGGGGTCATTTCCTGCAGGAGTGCACAGGAGCGGAGCTCCGGCAGTAAAGAGCCCAGGGGGCGGGCACATGCAACAAGCCCCACCCCCTGCTCCCAGCAGCCCTCAGTTCGAGCAAGAAGCAGCCAGGTAAGTTGCAGAGGGCTCCCCCCGGCCCCCCGGTCAAAAACAGTTCAGTGGCACCTTTAAGACCAATTTTTATTCAGGTACAAGCTCTCCCTCCTCTACGAGGACAGATCTGCACTCCCCCCCCCAAAAGCTAGCAATCCAAAACAGTCCAGTGGAGCCTGAGTGGTGGGTGTTGCCTTCTGACACACTTCCAGTGATGTCAGGGGGCGTGGCATATGCAAATAAGTTATGCTAATAGCTTATGCTAATGAGCTCCTGCACCTCTTTTTCTACGAAATGACCCCTGGAAAACCCTATGAGGTCACAGTAATTCCTCCACAACTGGGCAGCACTTCCTGTCCCCACGAAAGCTCACACTGAAATAAACGTTGTTAGTCCTTAAGGTGCCATGACCCTTTCGTTTTGCTATGACAGACTAACCTTTGCAATCATCAAGAAATCTGACGTCGCGGCTCCACCTCGTAAGAGTGGGAGAGAGGGGCAGAAGGGAAAGTGTGCAGAGTCAAGGACTGGTGAGCTTTCATGAGCCTCAAACCCACTGTTGGTTCATTGTAGGATCGGAACAGAAACCACGCCAATGAACCAAAGCGGGCTGTGTACCGTCTTCAAGTTTACAGGCACAACCCCCTCCCCATTGCCCCCAACCTCTGGCTTGTCTCCAAAAACGGAACGTATTTTTCCATCTCCCAATCCAGCCACCAAGAGGTCCACTCTCGACATTTCTTATCTAAATCCAGCAGCTCTCCAGCTTTGAGAAGTGGCACCCAGTGTTCCCTCTAAGCTGAGTGAGTGTGAGCTAGCTCACAGTTTCTTAGCCTGCAGTTCACACATTTTTGTCTTAGCTCAGGAAGGAGGGCTCCAGAGCAAACTGATGGATGCAGGAGCCAAAATCGCTCGCTCACAGCTTTAATGCCAGAAGCTCACAAAGTAGAATTTGTTGCTCACTCCACAGCTTAGAAGGAACATTGGTGGCGCCCACTTCTTAGCTTTCCCTCCTCTTCGAGAGCCGCTTTCCAAACCAGTCACGCGCCACACTTCCCTTTCCCCTAAATATGACACACAAAGGTCACGTCAATTAGCACCGAACAAGTTTATATTTTAACTTTCTCGAACAGTGTTTAGAAACACAGCGCGCTGCTGAGCAGCGGGTAGCGTTTCATGACCACATCCCGTGTGATGCAGAAGCAAACTCAGATCTTTGCATCAGGCCTCCCCGTGCTTCCTCTCCCGGCCGTCCTCCTCTTCTTCCTCCCTGCTGACCTCCCAACCCACCTGCTGGAAAGTCATGACTCACTTTGTGTCCCGCTCCCTCTAAGCTGTGGAGTGTTATGAGCAAAAATTCTACTTTGTGAGCTTCTGGCATTAAAGGTGTGAAAGAGCGATTTTGGCTACTGCATAAATTAGTTTGCTCTGGAGCCCTCCTTCCTGAGCCAAGACAAAAATGTGTGAGCCGGAGGCTAAGAAACTGTGAGCTAGCTCACACTAACTCAGCTTAGAGGGAACACTGGTCCCGACCTACAATTCTAAGTCATGTATAGAAACAATCACTGCAGTAACCCCAAGGGAACAAACAATCACTCTAGTTCACTAGCACGGGAAGGTGGAGCTTTGACCGCTTACCTTGACTTTGGACATGTATTTTGCTCCTGATGTGAGGCTTAAAAGAAAGAGGAACAAAAGGAAACCAGTTTAAACCGCCTGCTGAAAGGAAAGCAATCAGATAGTTTGCTGCAGAGATTGGACTAAAGTCCCCACACCATTGCAGGGGAAGGTAACAGGCCTGGACCCTAAAATGTTTTTCACCTCTCCCCGCAACACGCAGCTTGGCTCGCTGCCCCGAGCTACCCAGACCACTCTGCAGCACAATCATATGGCTCAACGTGAGCTCTGTGTTATGAGCGTTCCGCAGGCTGTGCCCGGCTCCCAGTCCCTTCCCCTGTAATACGAGACCACTGGACACTAGGCTGTGGCACAGGCTGATCTGTGGGGAGGCTGAAGAAGGGAGGGCCAAGCATCGTGGCAGGGAAGCAGACAGCATTTCCATCATCCCTAAGCAGTGGGTCACATAAGGGAGTCTCCACTGGTGACCTTACATTAAAGCCTGCGCCCATCCTTCCCCAATGCCAGGCGTCAAAAGGCGAGAAGCCCACCTAGAGGGCCTGGGAGAAAAACGGCGACGGATGAACGGGGCTTCCTTATCTGCCTTGGATTCCTGGATATTGGGATTAAATGGGCTATCTGTATTTTATACCTCAAACGCGGGCCGGATTGCCTAACTACACTGGTGAATTTCACAGCTGCTTCTGGGAGATATCCACAAGCCACAGGCCTCCTCCCGGAGAAGCAGATTACAGAGCTGGGCTAAGAGGCGACAAGACCGAAAGACCATCCCTGTAGCCTCAAGTTCTCAGGATGTTTCCAGAGAATTTGTTTGTTTGTTTTTCCCCTCAAACTTTTATTTTTGGGTATAACAACATATTCAACATTACATTTCAAATAACATACATCCATATCTCTTATCTCCCCCCCCCTCTTGGTGGCTTCCCGCAATGCTCCTCCCTCCATTCCCTCTTCTATTTCTGTTATCTTTTCACATTTTCATTCTTAAGTTTCCAGGTAACAATATTTGCTCTATTCGTTCAATACCTTTATATATTTCTGCTCTTAATAATTATCAAAACAAAGTAAATTATGTTTTACATCCCAATTTTTTCCTAAATATTCTTTCAAGTCTTCCCACTCTTCGTAAAATTCTTGATCTTCTTTGTTATTAAGTTTCTTTGTTAATTTGTCCATTTCAGCCATGAATAACACTTTCTGTATCCATTCCCCTTTTTCTGGTATTCTGTCTCGTCTGTGCATAAGTCATTCTAGCAGTGGTAATCAAATACCACAGCAATGTCTTTTTTGTTACATTTAGGATGTTTCCAGAGGATTTGGACAAGGCTGCAAACCCCTCTGCTCCCAACAAGTATATGGCCCTAAACATGAGCGGCCCTGATGTGGGTGGCCCAGGCTAGCCCGGTCTCCTCAGATCTCAGACGCTAAGCGGGGCCAGCCCAGGTTAGTCTTCGGAGGGTTAAGAGAACATAAGAACATAAGAGAAGCCAAATGTTGGGTCAGGCCAGTGGCCCATCCAGTCCAACACTCTGTGTCACACAGTGGCCAGAAATACCAGGGGCCATCAGGAGGTCCACCAGTGGGGCCAGGACATTAGAAGCCCTCCCACTGTTGCCCCCCCCCCAAGCACCAAGAATGCAGAGCATCACTTGCCCCAGACTAGGCTTGCCAAGTCCCCCAGGGGGGCAGGGAAACCTCCGCCCCAGAGGCCCGTTCCCTGCTGCCGGTGGATCGGGCCCCGGGGGGAACTCCACCCCGACGTGCACGTCACCCGGAAGTGACGCGACCACGCCGGGCACTCTGGGGGCGGGGCCACGGTCATCTGAGGGGAAAACTCTATGGTTTTCCCTCGGCTGGTCGTGGCCCCGCCCCCAGCGTGCCCGCGTCACTTCCGGGTGACGTGGATGCGGCGCGCGCAAGAGAGTTCCTGTCTATACCTTGTGGCTAATAGCCACGGATGGACTTCCGGTCCATATGCTTATCCAATTCTCTCTTGAAGCTGTCCATGCTTGTAGCCGCCACCACTTCCTGGACACCAGGGAGCCTGCCAGTGCCTTTCCTAACACCCGCCAAGTCATTTTAGAAAGTGGGTGGGGCTTTTGGCTAGCAATGTTTCGGATTGGCTGCATGGATTTTCTTAAAAATGGAGCTTTGGCAGCGGCTGCCACCACAGCTCAAGGATCTTCGCTCTGTGACTGAAGGTAACCCGCGGCAGCCATTTTGTGTCTGTCTTCACTTCCCGCGGCAGACATTTTGTGTCTGGCTTCACTTCCCGCGGCAGCCATTTTGTGTCTGGCTTCACTTCCCGCGGCAGCCATTTTGTGCCTGGCTTCACTTCCTGCGGAAGCCATTTTGTGTCTGGCTTCACTTCCCGCGGCAGCCATTTTGTGTCGGGCTTCACTTCCTGCAGCACCCATTTTGTGTCTGGCTTCACTTCCTGCGGCAGCCATTTTGTGGCCGTGGCCACCATAGTGTGTCAGAATCCCAAAGGTGCCCGCAGGCTCAAAAAGATGTTGGGGGCCCCCCCCTCTGCTCCGAAGTCTTTGCAGTTCCAAAGGTCCACTTCTGGACCAAGTTGCCTGAAGGAGCCCCTCCAGAATTACCATTCTTGACTTCAGATAAACGTAAGCGTATGAGAGCAAAGCCAACCACATTCCCGATGGGTTCTGCCTGTTTTACAAAGGACTTTTTCTGGCAAGGTCAAAAGCAGAGCAGAGTCGATGACTCAAAATTAGCTTTAATCGATATTTATGATACCCGAGTGAAGAGAGCTCATTTCAGAGAGTTCTTGAGAGAACAGCTCTGAGAGAACTGTGATTGACTCAAGGTCACCCAGCTAGCTGCATGTGGAGAAGTGGGGAAACGAATCCGGTTCTCCAGATTAGAGTCCGCTGCTCTTAACCAGTACACCACTGGCTAAATTATTGCCCAGCCTCTAATGAGCTCCTCACTACTCATGCAAGAAGTGGCAGGCGATGGTCACCACACCTTAAAAAGGATTTTATAGCATTGGAAAAAGATCAGAAAAGGGCAACTAGAATGATAAAGGGGTTGGAACACTTTCCCTATGAGGAAAGGTTAAGGCGCTTAGGGCTCTTTAGCTTGGAGAAACGACGATGGCTGAGGGGGGACATGATCAAGGTCTATAAGATTATGCGTGGGATAGAGCAGGTAGAGAAAGAGGTACTTGTCTCCCTTTCTCGCAATACAAGAACTCGTGTTCCCTCTAAGCTGTAGGGTCTTGTGAGCAAAAACTCTGCTTTGTGAGCTACTGGCATTAAAGTTGTGAGCCAGTGATTTGGCTACTGCATAAATTAGTCCGCTCTGGCCCCATCCTTCCTGAGCTAAGACAAAAATGTGTGAGCCGACGGTTAAAAAACTGTGAGCTAGCTCACACTCACTCAGCTTAGAGGGAACACGTGGGCACTCCATGAAATTGCTGAGCGGTCGGGTTAGAACGGATAAGAGGAAGTCCTTCTTCACCCAAAGCGTGATTCACACATGGAATTCACTGCCACAGGAAGTGGTGGCGGCTACAAGCATAGACGGCTTCAAGAGGGAATTAGATAAATATATGGAGCAGAGATCCATCAGTGGCTATTAGTCATAAGGTATGGATAGGGACTCTAGGGCAGGTGATGCTCTGTCTTCTTGGTGCTTGGGGGAGGGGGGCAACAGTGGGAGGGCTTCTAGTGTCCTGGCCCCACTGCTGGACCTCCTGATGGCACCTGGTATTTCTGGCCACTGTGTGACACAGAGTGTTGGACTGGATGGGCCTTTGGCCTGATCCAACCTTGGCGTCTCTTATGTTAAGACAAGAATATATGTGAGCCCCCTCCTTATCTGAGGTCACAGTTAGGGGTACCTGGAGTCAGTAGGGTAAGATAGAGCCCCCCCCCCCGTATACCCCCCAGTCTCCACTCGCTCTCATTTTAGGACCGCACTCCACTTATACAGTCTTCGTAAATACCATCTTTACGTACCCAGTATGCGGCGGCTGTTTCCTTCATGGCCTCCGTGAAAGAGACAGCAAACCTGGAAGCATTAAAACAAAAAGGCAGTTTTAAAATACACCTGGCAAGCCCAGGCTAGCCTGATCTTATCAGATCTCGGACAGCGAGCAAGGTCAGCTCTGGATATTATTTGGATGGGAGACCTCCGAGGAATACCAGGGTCATGATGCAGGGGCAGGCAATGGCAAACCACCTCTGAATGCCTCTTGCCTTGAAAACCCCACCGGGTTGCTATAGTCGGCTGTGACATGACAGCATATATATGTACGTATGTTCAAGACCCGGGTGCCGCAAGACGGGGTGAGCTCCTGTCTCTAGTTCCAGCTCCTGCCAACCTCGCAGTTCGAAAGCAAGAAATTGCAAGTAGATAAATAGGTACCACTTCGGTGGGAAGGTCACAGCGTTCCGTGCACCTTGGTGTTTAGTCATGCCGGCCACATGACCACGGAAACGTCTTCAGACAGCGCTGGCTCTTCGGCTTTGAAATGGAGATGAGCACCGCAACCCTAGAGTTGGATTCAACTGGCTTTCGAGCAAGGGAACCTTTACCTTTACCTTTATGTATGTATGTATATGTATAGGGGACACAGTGGCTCAGAGGTTAAGATGCTGAGCTGCATACTGGAAGGTCTGTAGTTTGGCAGTTCGAGACCCAAGTGCCGTGTGACAGAGTGAGCTCCCGTCTCTGGCCCCAGCTCCTGCCAACCTAGCAGTTCGAAAGCAAGAAATTGCAAGTAGATAAATAGGTACCACTTCGGTGGGAAGGTCACAGCGTTCCGTGCACCTTGGTGTTTAGTCATGCCGGCCACATGACCACAGAAACGTCTTTGGACAGCGCTGGCTCTTCGGCTTGGAAACAGAGATGAGCACTGCCCCCTAGAGTCGGATTCGACTGGCTTTCGAGCAAGGGAAACTTTTACCTTTACTATGTATATGTATAGACAGAGCTGGCGATGGAAGGCTGAAAGAGAACTCAATTGGTTTGGCCAGGAAGGAGTTCCCAGTCCCGTCAAAAGGTCAATTTGTGATCAGTGCAAACCAACTACTGTTCTAGGTTGTATCTTTAACCGTTCCTTTTCAGCAGAGAATATACAGGCCTAGCAAGGGTACTTAAAACATGTATACAGCTGAGCATCGCCGATCAGGTTAGTCTTCTTTTGAAGATGACTGATTGGAAGAAATAGCCAGAGGAAATCCACAAGTGCCTGACTAACCAGGGGCTCTTTATCTACTTTCCATTGCTTTCATCCTGGGACGAACCTCCTAAGTATTTATAATATGGCACTGCTAAGACAGCACTTCTCCGAAGGAGCTCAGACCTGTGTGTGTGTTTCTCCCTTCCTTATCACAACAAGACTGTGGAGCGGGTGAGGCTGATGGAGAGTAAGCAGCCCAGGGTCACCCAGGAAGATGTATGGTAGAGTGCACATTCGAACTCGAGTCTCCTAGGATCCCAGCCCCAACGCTTTCACCTCCACGCCACAGCAGCAATTCCACTCTCCCACATTCTAATGCAAGAGAGAACTCTGTAGCAAGGAAGCTTTTGGCACTAACTTGCTTTTGCTGCTCGGCTATCCCAGAGGGGCTGAGAAGTCACAGAGCCCGCCGGCTGCCATCAGCTGACCTGCTCTGATCAGAAGAAGAAGAGGGACAAGAGATTGGATTTATACCCCACCCTTCACTACCCAAAGGTGTCTCAGAGCGGCTTACAAACTCCTTTCCCTTCCCCTCCCCACAAGAAACGCCCTGGGAGGTAGGTGGGGCTGAGAGAGCTCTGACAGAAACGGCTCTTTTTTCAAGGACAGCTCTTATCAGAGCTAAGGCTTGCCCAAGGTCATCCAGCCAGATACAAGTGGAGGAGTGGGGAATCAAACCCGGTTCTCCCAGATTAGAGTCCACGCACTTAACCACGACACCAAACTGGCTCTCAAGAAGAAGAAGAGGAGGAGGAGTTTACACACTCTTTTACAATTTACAACAGCTCTGACAGAACTATGTCTTGCCCAAGGTCATCCAGCAGGTGCGAGTGGAGGAGTGGGGAATTAAACCCAGTTCTCCCAGCTTAGAGTCCGCGCACTTAACCACTACACCAAGCTACTGGTTGAGTGAGTCCAATTGGAAGGTTTCATACCCCGCCGTCCTCCCCCAATGGGAAGCCAAGCAGCTTGCATCATTCTCCTCTCCTCCATTTTATCCTCACAACAACCCTGTGAGGTAGGTTAGGCTGAGTGTGTGTGATGGGCCCAAGGTCACCCAGCAAGCTTCTATGGCAGAGCTAACTTGGATCTCCCATTCGGGGGAAGTCCTTATATTTTAGGGAGGGGCAGGGAAGAGTTGGACCATAAGGAAGAGTTGGGCCATATGGCTGCGAGAGTTGGACCATAAGGAAGGCCAAGCGCTGAAGAATAGATGCTTTCAAATTATGGTGCTGGAGGAAGGCTCTTGTGAGTCCCCTGGATTGCAAGGAGATCAAATCAGTCAATCCTAAAGGAAATCAACCCTGACTGCTCCCTGGAAGGCCAGAGACTGAAGCTGAAACTCAAATCCTTTGGCCACCAAATGAGAAGGGAGCACTCCCTGGAGAAGACCCTGATGCCGGGAAAGACTGAAGGTCAAAGAAGACGGGGACGGCAAAGGATGAGATGGTTAGACAGTGTTATCGAGGCAACGAACATGGAATTAAGCAAACTACGGAGGACAGGAGGGCCTGGCGTGATGTGGTCTATGGGTTCATAAAGAGTTGGACTCGACTGTGCGACTGAACAACAATAGGGAAGAGCAAGGCAAAGGGTCTTAGGAAGGGAGGGTCAGAAGCAAAGGGGTTAAGAAACTGGCAGAAGGGGGCAATCCTGAGGAATGAGGGGAAGAGAAGCAAATCTGTTGGGGAAGTTAAAATGGGGAAAGGAAGAACTGCACATGGCCAAGAACTACGGAAGCCAGAGAGGCTGAAGGACCCAGAATCATCTGAAATAACCTCCTGCGTCTACAGCTGCAGCTCTCTTAACAGGAGAAAACGATCACAGTCTGTTCTGTGGGTACGACCTCGCCGACAAATTTCAGGTTATCAAAACCTGAGCAAAGGCATGCGTTCCCAGAGCCCCATCTGCTCCAATTTCTTATTGCACAATTATATTTCCAATCTATCACATTACCAAGCGGGTAGAAACCGCAGCTCCCGGCCCCGGCAAAGAACAAGTCAAATTGAAAACGTACCCCGAAGGAGCGCAATCCCCCGCCGAAGAAGAGTTTGATTTAAAAAATAAAATAAAATGACACACTCGGTTATCAAGCGGGACACGGTTCCCCGTTTTGTTTTACAGAACGCGGCGGTGCGTTGCGCGGGTTAAATAGATCGATGAGTCCGCGGGCCCTTTCGGTTTGCACCCTGCAATCAACGCCGCCGGGGAGGAACGAAGGGAAGGGGAATCAATTTTCGCTTTCAAGGGTGGGTGATAAGGAGCACGGGCGTTAACGAGCCAATAAGATCCCCCCCTATGGAGTGGAGACGGCCAGGCAGCATCTGGAAATTCAAAGGAAGTCTTCCTTTTTTGCCTCCCCGGACTGTTGACGTGCCACGCAAACAAACCAAGGGCCACGTGGGAAAGAAGGCTAGTGGGGAGAAAACAAAAACGGGGGGGTTGGATTCAGCCAGCTCTTCCACTGGTGAAGCAGGGAGGAGGAATGTCCCCCTTTGGGCACCCAAAAGGCTACACGGGGGATCGTGGGACCCAGGTGAACAAAAGCTGTGTACCACAAGGGCGATCTATCTAGAAGAAGAAGAAGAGAAGAGATTGGATTTATACCCCGCCCTTCACTTGGAGTCTCAGGAGCGGCTTACAAACTCCTTTCCCTTCCCCTCCCCACAACAGACACCCTGTGAGGTAGGTGGGGCTGAGAGAACTCTGACACAAACTGCTTTTTTTCGAGGACAGCTGTGCCAGAGCTTGTGACTGACCCAAGGTCACATCAGCAGGTGCAAGTGGAGGAGTGATGAATCAAATCCGGTTCTCCCAAATTAGAGTCTGCGCACTTAACCACTACACCAAACTGGCTACTCCAGTATCCTGGCTCACACAGTGGCCAACCAGTTCCAACACTGCCAGAGGATGCAGTGATGGCCACAGGAATAAACAGCTTTAAAGGGGGACTTGATAGATGCATGGAGGAGAAGTCTATCAAAGGCTACTAGCCATGGTGGCTGAGGGGAACCTCCACCTTCAGAGGCACTGATCCTCTGAATCCCAGAGCCAGGAGGCAACCTCAGGGGAAGGTCTCGGCCTCAATGCCCTGTTTGACTCAGGTCACTGTGTGAGGCGGGATGTTGGACCAGATGGGACTACTGGTCTGATCCAGCAGGGGTCTTATGTTCTCTGGAGGGAGAACAACAGAGCACAGAGGCCAAGGCCTTCTCCTGATGTTGCCTCCTGGCACAGGGATTTAGAGCATTATAGGGGGAAATTGGGGGGAACCATGGAGGGGAAAGCTGGCTCAATCCAACACCGCATGGTCAAGTAACCTGTGCGATCTTATCAGCAACAGCAAATTTTAAAACTTTGCCTCACAGAAACCAAACAAAGATTGGCTGGGTATTTCTTCTACCTGGCTTCATCCAAGATGGCCCCCATCGCCCGGGACTTCTCGCCACACTTGGCGTCCTCGTTGATATCTGTCCCGCCAAAGATGATGCCAAAAGGGACTCTGCTCCCTAGCCAGAGAAATACAAACGTAAGTCTAATACCGACACAGCAAGAATGTGAGAAGAGCCCCCAGTTCCCACAGGGGACAACCAGGAGCTTCTGGGAAGGTGACCAAGGTCAGCGTTTGCGTACTGATGTCGTGACGCACAAGACTTGTGATGGTGTTCTAGGGTATTTTTGTTTATTCAATACAGTTCTCCCTTCCCGACCTCGGCTTCAAAGTCAATAATATACAAACTTCTTCTTCTTTTGGCTATCGAGTCACAGTTGACTTATGGCAGCCCTGGGAAAAAGATGTTCAGAGGTGGTTTGCCATGGCCTCCCTCTGTGTCACACCCCTGGTCTTCCTTGGAAGTCTCCCAACCAAATACTAGCCGGGGCTGACTCTGCTTGGCTTCAGAGATCTGACAAGATCAGGCCAGCCTGGGCCATCCAGGTCAGGGCAAACAAATTGGCAATACTAAAAGGAAGAAGAAGAAAAAGAGGAGGAGGAGGAGGAGGAGTTTGGATTTATACCCCGCCCTTCACTACCCGAAGGAGTCTCAGAGCGGCTTACAGACTCCTTTCCCTCCCCCTCCCCACAACAGACACCCTGTGAGGTAGGTGGGGCTGAGAGAGCTCTTGACAGAAACTGCTCTTTTTCAAGGACAGCTCTTATCAGAACAATGGCTTGCCCAAGGTCATCCAGCCAGGTGCAAGTGGAGGAGTGAGGAATCAAACCCGGTTCTCCCAGATTAGAGTCCACGCACTTAACCACTACACCAAACTGGCACACCAAACTGTGACTGACCCAAGCTCATCTAGCAGCTGCAAGTGGAGGAGTGCGGAATCAAACCCAGTTCTCCCAGATTAGAGTCCACACTCCTAACCACTGCTCTGCACTGCACTACTTCACACAATCCATAATTATTCATTGAATGTCATTAGCACTGTTTGTAGTGATGGCAACTAGTTGCTATTTTAAAGTATTTGATATGTTAATAGAGGACAGGCTATCAGCAGAGAACAGGGGGACTTACCAGGAGCAGGAGGGAGGCCCAGGCAACGTTGCCAGTGATGTATCTATGTCACTCCCAGCTTGCATAGGAAGCAATGTATCAAGTCGTGACACTGGGGTGACGCTCTGGTATCTGTGCAAAAACTCTACAGTAAAAATGGCTTCTACCATAGAGCTTTTGACCAAGTCCCAGAGCTTCACCTGGATGATGATGAAGAAGAAGAGATTGGATTTATACCCCACCCTTCACTACCCGAAGGAGTCTCAGAGTGGCTTACAACCTCCTTTCTCTCCCCCTCCCCACAACAGACACCCTGTGAGGTGGGTGGGGCTGAGAGAGCTCTGGCAGAAACTGCTATTTTCCAAGAACAGCTCTTATCAGAGCTACGGCTTGCCCAAGGTCATCCAACCAGGTGCAAGTGGAAGAGTGGGGAATCAAACCCGGTTCTCCCAGATTAGAGTCTGCGCACTTCACCACGACACCAAACTGGCTCTCCTCTGTAAAATACACTGTAAAATACTCTGCAAAATCTGTAAAAAAAAAGGTAAAAATACACAGCACCCACATTCCGACTCCCTCTGAAAAGGGGCAACTTTAAAGGGTTGATTCCTTTTGAAGTAACTTTATCTGGGTGACCTTCCACTGACATTGTGGGTTATTATCCAGTGCCCTAAACAGAGTAGCCAGACTTGAGTCCAGTCACTCCTCTAAAGACCTACAATTTCCAGGGTATAGATTTGAGAGAATCAGAGCTTTCTTCATCAGATAATCATCTGAATCTTGTTGACTCTGGAAAGGTTATACCTTGGAATCCTTGTTAGTCTTTAAAGTGCCACTGGACTTGAATCTCCCTCTTCTACTGAAGACCAGGGGTGTGCCAAAAAATGGTATTTTCCAGGTTTCAGTATACTGAACCCCCAAAATACTAGTATGTCCCGATATTTCCGAATCCCAATACCGGTATGGTATTCAGATTCAGTAAATATTCAGGATTACCAATTTTGGGGGGGTTGCATTATACTCTGAGAGAGCCAGTTTGGTGGAGTGGTTCTAATCTGGGAGAACTGGGTTTGAGTCCCCACTCCTCCACATGCAGCTGCTGGTGTGACCTTGGGGCAGTTACAAGTTCTCTCAGAGCTGTTCTCTCAAGGGCAGTTCTCAAGAGAGCTCTCTCAGCCCCACCTCCCCCACAGGGTGTCTGTTGTGGGGAGGGGGAGGGAAAAGGAGTTTGTAAGCCACTCTGAAACTCCTTCGGGTAGTGAAGGGCGGGGTATAAATCCAATCTCCTCCTTCTCGTCCTTCCTCCTCTTCTTCTTCTGTGGGACGACATACATTGGATCTCCTTCCTCTGGGTTCCAACAGCCCACAACTGAGGCCATCAGAGTGAGAGGAGATGGAGGAACATTTTGTCTCAACCTGTCTTGGTTGGCTTTGATGCAATCTATGATGAGAACAAGGAGCTCTAAAAGGAGGACCAAAATAGTAATACGTTCATTTTCGCCCTACATGAATCAAAAGCACATCCCAGGATGCACTTAACAACCGGGTGACTATGCAGACAAAGATCTGCAGGCAAGCTGTTTCTCCCCAGAGCTCCGGGCTTCACTTCCAGGGAACCCAGCAGGATGCCCATGAACACACTTCGAAATGGGTTCCTCTGAGTCTTCAAAGAGCTCTTTCAAGTGTTATCTCAGTCATCTACATGAAAACCCAGGAAGGAAGGCCAGTATTGTACTGCAGTGGCAGAAGATGAAGAAGAAGAAGAAGAGAAGAGATTGGATTTACACCCCGCCCTTCACTCGGAGTCTCAGAGCGGCTTACAGACTCCTTTCCCTCCCCCTCCCCACAACAGACACCCTGTGAGGTAGGCGGGGCTGAGAGAGCTCTTTCGAGGACTGCCCTTGAGAGAGCAGCTCTGACCAGAACTACGGCTTGCCCAAGGTCATCCAGCAACTGCAAGGGGAAGAGGACTGGGGAATCAAACCCGGTCCTCCCAGATTAGAGTCCGCGCACTTAACCACTACACCAAACTTGTCTAAGGTTACCTTGCCTGATCTGGATCGCCCAATCTCATCACTTCTCAGAAGCGAAACAGGGTCGACCCAGGTGAGTACTTCGATGGGGGACCACCACACAAGTACAGGGTTGCTAGGCAGAGGCAGCCCTTGAAAACCCTTGCCTTGAAAGCCCTGTGGGGTCGTCATAAGTCGGTTGCAACTTGAGGGCACTTCATCCGATGCCCTGACTTGGCTGGGCAAGGCTAGCCTGATCTCTTGGAGGCTAAGCAGGGTCGGCCCTGGTTAGCACTTGGATGGGAGGCCTCCGAGGAAGGCCAGGGTTGGTACGCAGAGGCAGGCAAGGCCAAACCACCTCAGAATGCCTCTTGCCTTGACAACCCCAAGAGGTCACCATAAGTCAGGTGTGACTTTATTAGACACCCTCACCTGGATGGCCCGGGCTTGCCCGATCTCATCAGATCCTGGAAGCTAAGCATGGTCGGCCCTGGTTCGTACTTGGATGGGAGACCACCAAGGAAGGAATTCCAGGGTTGCTATGTAGACACAGGCAATGGCGAACCACCAAAAAAGTGATTAACTCTTCAACCAAAGAGGGATTGACACATGGAATTCACTGCCACAGGAGGTGGTGGCAGCTACAAGCATGGACGGCTTCAAGAGGGAATTGGATAAACACACGGAGCAGAGGTCCATTGGTGGCTATTAGCCATAAGGTATAGATAGGAACTCTCGGTCTGTGGCAAGGGATGCTCTGTATTCTTGGTGCTTGGGGGGGGGGTCAACAGTGGGAGGGCTTCTAGCATCCTGGCCCCGCTGCTGGACCTCCTGATGCCACCTGGTATGTTTGGCCACTGTGTGATAGAGTGCTGGACTAGATGGGCCATTGGCCTGATCCAACATTGGCTTCTCTTATGTTCTTACTAGCAGTAAAGCCCGTTGTGAAAACAATACAAGAACTCTCACAATACAAGAACTCGTGGGCACTCCATGAAATTGCTGAGCGGTCGGGTTAGAACAGATAAAAGGAAGTACTTCTTCACCCAAAGAGTGATTAACACTTGGAATTCACTGCCACAGGAAGTGGTGGCGGCTACAAGCATGGACGGCTTCAAAAGGGAATTAGATAAGTATATGGAGCAGAGGTCCATCAGTGGCTATTAGCCACAAGGTATAGATAGGGACTCTGGGGCAAGTGATGCTCTGTCATCTTGGTGCTTGGGGGGGGGGTCAACAGTGGGATGGCTTCTAATGTCCTGGCCCCACTGGTGGACCTCCTGATGGCACTGGTATTTCTGGCCACTGTGTGATACAGAGTGTTGGACTGGATGGGCCTTTGGCCTGATCCAACATTGGCATCTCTTATGTTCTTATGTTCTTAATACAACGAGATCTAGAAAGAGGCTCTGGGGGAGTGCTCTGGCTTTGGGCAAACAGTGTCAATTTGCTGTGGTGACCTCAGCAGGGTATAATGACAGAGTCCACTGTTTTCTCCAGAGGAACTGATGTCTGCTACCTGAAGAGCAGTTGTAATTGTGAGTAATCTGTAGCCCTCACCTGGAGATTGGCAGCAATTGTTACCCAGGACAAAATGGCTGGTTTGGAGGGTGGAGTTGGCAACCCCATCTCCTTCCCAGCTAACCATCAACCTACCATTATCTGCCCCTTTGACCTCACCTGACTTCTGCCCTCCCTTCTGCAGAGCAG